TCAGAAGAGCCCTGCTGGGTCAGACCAGGGAGGGTCCCTCTAGTCCAGCCTCCTGTCTCACACGGGGGCCAACCAGTCCCTCTGGAGGGCCAGCAACAGGGCAGAGAGGCTGAGGCCTTCCCCTGATAAGAACCTCAGAAGAGCCCTGCTGGGTCAGACCAGGGAGGGTCCCTCTAGTCCAGCCTCCTGTCTCACACGGGGGCCAACCAGTCCCTCTGGAGGGCCAGCAACAGGGCAGAGAGGCCGAGGCCTTCCCCTGATAAGAACCTCAGAAGAGCCCTGCTGGGTCAGACCAGGGAGGGTCCCTCCAGTCCAGCCTCCCGTCTCACACAGGGGCCAGCCAGTCCCTCTGGAGGGCCAGCAACAGGGCAGAGAGGCCGAGGCCTTCCCCTGATAAGAACCTCAGAAGAGCCCTGCTGGGTCAGACCAGGGAGGGTCCATCCGGTCCAGCATCCCGTCTCACACAGGGGCCAGCCAGTTCTTCTGGAGGGACAGCAACAGGGCAGAGAGCCCGAGGCCTTCCCCTGATAAGGACACCAGAAGAGCCCTGCTGGGTCAGACCAGGGAGGGTCCCTCTAGTTCAGCCTCCTGTCTCACACAGTGGCCAGCCAGTTCCCCTGGAGGGCCAGCAACAGGGCAGAGAGGCCGAGGCCTTCCCTTGAGATCAATATTTGAACCCTCGCTCCACCATGAAGCTCTGAGTGACTCTGAGGGACTTGCTCTCCCCCAGACTGGTCTACATCACAGGGTGGTTGTCGGGGGGATAACATGGAGGGATGGAGAAATGAAGTCCTCTCCTCAACTCCTTGAAGGAAGGGTGGGATTAAAAATGTGCTGAATAAAGAAGGAGCCGAATGATTTTCCCGACACAGTGGCCATGAGTATGAACAAAGTGAGTGTGCAGATTTTTGCATGCTAGAAAGGTCAGAATCAGTGAATTGCAATTGATAATGAAGCTCAAGACAATGCATCCACCTGGATTGAATCCAGACCTTGGTTTCCTGTCTCATTACCAATGCTGATTTCTCCACGCCTGCTACCTCTCTGCGTATCACACGTAATCCAGTCACGCCTGCTATTGTCATTTGCCTGCTAATGTTATCAGCACCTGAAATCACTCCACTTTCCAACACATAGGGCAGATGGACTCCCATTCTAGCTTTACCTGAAGAAGTGAGCAGTGACTCACAAAAACTCCTCCCCTGCCACACATTTGGCTAGTCTTTAAGGTGCTATTGGACTCTGGCTCTTTTCCACCAAATCAGGAACAGTTCAATGCAAAACAGCCTTCCAAAACCCTCGCTCTGGAACTATCACTCCACAATACGCTTTACTTGAAGGTTCTGCAAGCGGCATACAAACTATTCGATGAATCAAGCCAACCACGCAGTCCGTTTAAGCAAACATCAGCCGGAAGGAAGCGCCCTTAGATGGGTAAAAACACCGTAACAGCCAAACATCGGCAGGAAGAGAGAAGGGAAAAACACACGCCACTAATTAACCACATATCCAGCTCTAATCACAAGCGTGGGTGAACGAAGCTATCAAATTTGCCACCTAACATTAGTAAGAGGTAAGCAACCGGGGACAGATTTCCTGCAGAGAAAGCCCCATCCATATCAGCTCCTACAAAACAGATGACCGGACAGGTTTATAAAATTATGCATGGGGTCAACAGAGTGGACTGAGCGAACCTTTTCTCCTTCTCCCAAAATACTAGAACTCAAGGGGGTCCAACGAAGGGGACGGGCAGTAGGTTCAGGACAGACAAAAGGAATTACTTTGTGCAAGGAGTGATTTAATGTGGAAGTGGCCGCCAGAGGATGAAGTGATGGATGCAGGCACAGATGGCTTTAAAAGGGGATTCAGCGGATTTATGGAGGGGAGCTCTTTCAGCGGCTATTAGCCATGGCGAACAAAGGGAACCTCCACATTCAGAGACAGTCAACCACCGAATCCCAAAGCCAGGAGGCAACATCAGGGGAAGGCCTCGGCCTCTCTGCCCTGTTGTCGGCCCTCCAGAGGAACTGGCTGGCCCCTGCGTGAGACGGGAGGCTGGACTGGATGGGCCCTCCCTGGTCTGACCCAGCAGGGCTCTTCTGATGTTCTTCTCAGGGGAAGGCCTCGGCCTCTCTGCCCTGTTGTCGGCCCTCCAGAGGAACTGGCTGGCCCCTGCGTGAGACGGGAGGCTGGACTGGATGGGCCCTCCCTGGTCTGACCCAGCAGGGCTCTTCTGATGTTCTTCTCAGGGGAAGGCCTCGGCCTCTCTGCCCTGTTGTCGGCCCTCCAGAGGAACTGGCTGGCCCCTGCGTGAGACGGGAGGCTGGACTGGATGGGCCCTCCCTGGTCTGACCCAGCAGGGCTCTTCTGATGTTCTTCTCAGGGGAAGGCCTCGGCCTCTCTGCCCTGTTGTCGGCCCTCCAGAGGAACTGGCTGGCCCCTGCGTGAGACGGGAGGCTGGACTGGATGGGCCCTCCCTGGTCTGACCCAGCAGGGCTCTTCTGATGTTCTTCTCAGGGGAAGGCCTCGGCCTCTCTGCCCTGTTGTCGGCCCTCCAGAGGAACTGGCTGGCCCCTGCGTGAGACGGGAGGCTGGACTGGATGGGCCCTCCCTGGTCTGACCCAGCAGGGCTCTTCTGATGTTCTTCTCAGGGGAAGGCCTCGGCCTCTCTGCCCTGTTGTCGGCCCTCCAGAGGAACTGGCTGGCCCCTGCGTGAGACGGGAGGCTGGACTGGATGGGCCCTCCCTGGTCTGACCCAGCAGGGCTCTTCTGATGTTCTTCTCAGGGGAAGGCCTCGGCCTCTCTGCCCTGTTGTCGGCCCTCCAGAGGAACTGGCTGGCCCCTGCGTGAGACGGGAGGCTGGACTGGATGGGCCCTCCCTGGTCTGACCCAGCAGGGCTCTTCTGATGTTCTTCTCAGGGGAAGGCCTCGGCCTCTCTGCCCTGTTGTCGGCCCTCCAGAGGAACTGGCTAGCCACTGTGTGAGACAGGATGCTGGACAAGATGGACCCTCCCTGGTCTGATCCAGCAGGGGCTCCTATTATGCTCTTATGCGGAGGTACTCTGAGCAGGGCCACTGTTTATGGTTGCCAACTCTGGGTCGGGAAATTCCTGGAGATTTGAGGATGGAGCCTGGGGAGGGGAAGGGCTTCAGTGGATAGCATGCCGCCCAGTCCACCTTCCAAAGCCGGGGAGGGTGAATTTTGGAGAGAGGAGGGACCTCCGCAGGGTATAGCACCATAAAAGCCCACCTTCAGAAAGCAGCCACTTTCTCCAGGTGGACTGACCTCTGTCATCTGGAGATCCTCGGGCCCCACCTGGAGGTTGGCAACCCTATGGCCCTGTTAAAGTCTCCCCCCCCCCATTGAGGGGCAAGTATCTATGCGATGCAAATAGTCCTTCAAGCATCTCCCAAACCATCTACTGGTCCCTGGATAAATTAGCTAAATGCTATGCTGGATATTCCAACCTATGCTGGAAATGTAAAACGAAAATAGGGACCTTTTACCATATGTGGTGGAAATGTAGTAAAATACAAGGCTATTGGAAAATGGTGTGAAAGATAATTCAAGAAATTCTAGAAAAGAATTTAGCATTAAAACCAGAAATATATCTGTTAAATACAATCCCGGATGGATATAATGTGCAAGAATCATATGTATTAGTTTATATAATAACGGCTGCTCGACTATTATTGGCTAAAAATTGGAAATCTGAGATAATACCCTCCAGAGAAGAATTAACGCTGAAGATATTAGAATTAGCACGAATGGATAATTTGAGTTAGACACTACAAAACAAAAATGAGAAGGTACATGGGAAGAGATGGTTAAAGGTGTACAAATGGTTAGAAGAATTGTCAGAAGTTTAATGACTCTACAATATATGCAATGTATACAGATGGAATGTCTGATTTGTAAAACTGAAATAAAATTATATATATATATATTTTAAAAAGCATCTACCAAACCATCGTAAACAAAGTTCCCCCGGGATGTTAGAACGATAATTCTCGCTGCATCAGAAGATGTTCAAACGAAACACTGACTCTAGAAACAATGCAAAAAAACAAAACCAACCACCACCACCACATAATGACAACGCCGCAACCGAAAGATGCCGATCAGCCCTGGGCCGGGCTTCAAAAAGAGCAAGCACGCGGTTTCTTTCGTTGTTTTCAACACACGCCCTTTACCTGCAAATGATGATGAAGAACTTGATGAGCAGGAGGGCCCGGCTGAGTCCCGCCTCGGCCACCTCGTCGTCGCGGGAGACCTGGGTGACGCTGAACGTCAGCTGCTGGGTCAGCATGTGGAGGACGTCGCAGGGCAGCAGTGGGATCTCGGAGACGGAGTCCTCGGGCCTGGGAGGGAGGGAGGGAGGAAGATCAGGTGAAGCCGCAGATTCCGTCCCGGCAACTGACACTTGACAGCAGTCTTCCCTCTAAGCTGAGTTTGTGTGAGCCAGCTCACAGTTTTTTAGTCTCCGGCTCACCCGTTCTTGTCTTCGCTCAGGAAGGAGGGCTCCGGAGCAAACTGGTTTATGCAGCAGCCAAATCGCTCGCTCGCGACTTTAAGGCCAGGAGCTCACAGAGTAGAATTTTTGCAGAAAAGACGCCGCAGCTTAGAGGGAGGCCTTGCTTGGAAGCACAGTGCATTCCTCAAACTGGAAAGGGCAAAAGGAACTCAACTGAGAATCTTGCCAGGCAGCCAGAGGGCAAGCTGGCCGAGCCGATTCAGCTGTCTTGCAGAGATGGCACACAGATAAAGCCAGGAAGACGGGGCTCCTCCTCGGAGCGAGGGCGAGAAGGAAATAGATTTAAGAAAATAATGGGCCCTTCCCATCCCCTTGTTCAGTTCTCGGCACTGCAGTTCAAGAGAACACGGAGAGAACACATAAGAACCTAAGAACATTAGAGAAGCCCATGTTGGATCAGGCCAAAGGCCCATCCAGTCCAACACTGTCACACAGTGGACAAAAATACCAGGTGCCACCAGGAGGTCCACCAGTGGGGCCAGGACACTAGAAGCCCTCCCACTGTTGCCCCCCCCCCCAAGCACCAAGAATACAGAGCATCACTTGCCCCAGACCAAGAGTTCCTATCTATACCTTGTGGCTAAGAGCCACTGAATGGACCTCTGCTCCATATGTTTATCCATAAGAACATAAGAGAAGCCAATGCTGGATCAGGCCAAAGTCCCATCCAGTCCAACACTCTGTCACACAGTGGCCAAAAACACCAGGTGCTATCAAGAGGTCCATCAGTGGGGCCAGGACACTAGAAGCCCTCCCACTGTTGCCCCCCCAGCACCAAGAATACAGAGCATCAATTGCCCCAGACCAAGAGTTCCTATCTGTACGTTGTGACTAAGAGCCACTGAATGGACCTCTGCTCTATATGTTTATCCATAAGAACATGAATGAAGCCAATGTTGGATCAGGCCAATGGCCCATCCAGTCCAACACTCTGTCACACAGTGTCCAAAAATACCAGGGGCCACCAGGAGGTCCAGCAGTGGGGCCGGGACACTAGAAGCCCCTCCCACTGTTGCCCCCCCCCCAGCACCAAGAATACAGAGCATCCCTTGCCCCAGACCAAGAGTTCCTATCTATACCTTGTGGCTAATAGCCACTGATGGACCTCTGCTCCAGATGTTTATCCATAAGAACATAAGAGAAGCCAATGCTGGATCAGGCCAATGGCCCATCCAGTCCAACACTCTGTGTTACACAGTGGCCAAAAATACCAGGTGCCATCAGGAGGTCCACCAGTGGAAAACGCCCTGGCTGTCGTCGAAAGCAACCAGATGTCTCTCAGGTCAGGGACCACATCACCTACTGATTAACAATAATCTTGAATGGAGATGCTGGGGATTGAACCCAGTACCTTTCGCATGCCAAGCAGATGCCCTACTACTGAGCCACGGGCCCCCCGTAAACACACATGAAGCTGCCTTGTACTGAATCAAAGCCAGTATCGTCTGCTTGGTCTGGCAGAGGTTCTCCTGGGTCTCAAGGCAGAGATCTTTCACCTGGTCCTTTCAACGGGAGGTGTTGGGGATTGAACCTGGGACCGTCGACATGCCAAGCAGAGGCTCTTCCGTTGAGTCATGGCCCCTCCTCATGAGAGAAGCCCTCCTGACAATCCCATCAATAGAAGAAGAGGAGGAGGAGGAGGAGATTGGATTTATACCCCGCCTTCTCTTGGAGTCTCGGAGTGGCTTACAATCTCCTTCCCTTCCTATCCCCACAAAAGGCACCCTGTGAGGTGGGGAGGCCCTGAGAGAGCTCTTTCGAGGACTGCCCTTGAGAGAACCACTCTGAGAGAACTTGTGACTGACCCAAGGTCACACCAGCAGCTGCATGCAGAGAAACAGGGAATCAAACCTGGTCCCCCCAAATTAGAGTCTGCACTCTTAACCGTTACACCAAACTGGCTCTCAAGAACCTCATTTGGTGGGTACATGAGAGCAATCGATAGGGCTGTCCACTCCGTGTTGGGAAATGGACCTCTGCTCCACAGGTATTGAAATCAGTGCACCGAGAGGAGGAGGAGGAGATTGGATTTATACCCCGCCCTTTCAGTCGTAGAGCGGCTAACAAACTCCTTTCCCTCCCCCTCCCCACAACAGACACCCTGTGAGGTAGATGGGGCTGAGAGAGCTCTGACAGAAACTGCACTTTTTAAAGGACAGCTTTGCCAGAACTATGGCTTGCCCAAGGTCATCCAGCAGCTGCAAGTTAGAGTCCGCACACTTAACTGCTACCCCAAACAGGTGGAGTAGGCATGAGCTTACCAGTGGTGGCCCCTTCCCTATGCCCGATCATCAGCTTGTGACCATGGGGTTCTACATGCATAGGTAGGGTATGCATATGGACTCCGTCCCTATGATCCAGAACATTTGAAAAATCAGTGTTCCCTATTACAGGGAGGAAGCCCATGTACGCGCACTTCCTATGCATTTAGAGACTCCGTGCTCACAGGCCGGTGCTTACACGTGCACAAGAGGCGGGCAGAGATGCAAAACCCCGGAACATTTCATAGCCTTCTCCGTGGTGGCTCCCACATTGTGGGACGGCCTGCCTGAGGTGGTCAGGAAAGCTCCCCCTCTCCTTGGCTTTCCACAAACGATGAAAAACTGAACTATTCAAGGGGTTTTTTTCTTCTGCGCAGGCAACAGAGTTTGTACTGTACAAACTTGGACAAATTACTAGGGACTGTGGTCAATACTACTGCGTATAGTTTGCCACAAGTTAGAATCATAGAATCATAGTGTTGGAAGGGACCTCCGGGGTCATCTAGTCCAGCCTCGTGCACGATGCAGGAAATTCACAAACACCTCCCTCTCCACACCTGCAGTGACCCCTGTTCCATGCCCAGAAGATGAGAAAAAACCTCCAGGATCCCTGGCCAAACTGGCCTGGAGAAAAATTGCTTCCTGACCCCAAAGTGGCAATCAGTTAGATCCTCCTGTGTAATTTCACATCATTTAAGAAGAAGAAGAGATTGGATTTATACCCTGCCCTTCACTACCCAAAGGTGTCTCAGAGCAGCATTTGAGGGTGGTGGGGCTGAGAGAGCTCTTGACAGAAACTGCTCTTTTTCAAGGACAGCTCTTATCAGAGCTACGGCTTGCCCAATGTCATCCAGCCAGGTGCAAGTGGAGGAGTGGGGAATCAAACCCGGTTCTCCCAGATTAGAGTCCGCGCACTTAGCCACTACACCAAACTGGTCAAACAATTAATCCTGTGCTATGCTTCAGTTCTGGTTTTTTAAACTTCTGGTCGGTTCTACAACCCAAATCCTGTTTCACTGTTTACTAAACGTCCCATCCTGTCGACTGTATTTGTCTTACTCTTTGAGTCCCAGTGAGAAAACCAGAATACACATAATGTAAAGAAAGGAAATAAAATTAAAACCAGCAGGTGAGCACTCTGATCTTCAATTTGGATACGCCCCCTTAAAGTCGCTATTCTCCCATGGAAGAACTTCAAAGGGAGAATGCAAGGGGAAATGGCTGCATCAACATTCATCAGGAAGTTTAACACTGTCTCTCCCTCAGGTTTCTAACCTCTCATTTCGAGCTCACTATAGGTGCTAAGATCTTGCCTTTCCCACCCCATGCCAATATTAATTTTTCTACCTCTGTGGTTTTCTGTTGTTTATCTGCCTCTTCATCCTGCACTAGATTTTACATCTGGACTGCCTAACAACACTCAGAAGTATCTAACGCCCATGCCAAGTGAACTGATTACTCTCTGGTCTGTGCCTTATTTTAAACCAACCTCCCTCTGTACTGTCTCTATACCAGTGATGGCGAACCTTTTAGAGACCGAGTGCCCAAACTGCGACCCAAAACCCACTTATTTATCGCAAAGTGCCAACACGGCAATTTAACCTGAATACTGAAGTTTTATTTTAGAAAAAAACAACTCATACATTAATTTAAGATGATCCAAACAAAGTAAGGAAAGCGATCCCAAATGCTTTCATTTACTTAAGATTATTTGGCAGAGAATTCCACACTTTAATGACGGTCTGGGCCTGGCTGGGGCGATGGCACGCGTGCCCACAGAGAGGGCTCTGAGTGCCACCTCTGGCCCCCGTGCCATAGGTTCGCCACCACTGCTCTATACCTTTCTGCTGTGAACATACGAAGAGCCCTGCTGGATTAGACCAGTGGTCCAGCATCCTGTCTCACACAATTCCTCTGGAGGGCCACCAACAAGGCATAGAGGCCTTCCCCTGATGTTTCCTCCTGGAACTGGGATTCAGAGGTTGACTGCCTCTGAACGTGGAGGTTCCACTTAGTCACCACGGCTAGTAGCCACTGGTAGACCTATCTTCCACCGATCTATATCATCCCCTTTTAAAATTGTCTTTGCTTGTGGCCGTGACTACATCCTCCGGCAGCAAATGCCAAATTGGAATCACTCGCTGCGTAAAGAAGTATTTCCTTTTGTCCGTCCTGAACCTACTGCCCGTCAGCATCATTGGATGCCCTCGAGTTCGAGTATTCCGGAAGAGGGAGGAAAAGTCCTCCTTGTCAACTCTCTCCATCTCATGCATAATTTTATAAACCTCTGACCGCAAAAGCATGTACTGGTTGAACACTTCACTGTATTTGAGACAGTGAACTCTGACTCACAAAACTGCATGTCCGAATAAATTTTGTGAGTCTTTTAAGATGCCGCTGGGACTCCTGTTTTATTTTGCTTCGACGTACTGACACGGCCAGTGCAGGAATAAATCTACAAATATCTTTATAGGCATAAGGGCTGAAATCTTGCTTTTAAAAGGGGGGGGGGGAAGGTCTAACAGTTGCAGGAATACCAGTTGGGCTTCATATACGCGTGTATTTT